TTTATCTTTTCACAATTTAGCTTATCTGATTGCCTATGCTAACAAATTTACCTTAACAGTTGGCGGTCTTGGTTTGAATCTGACATCCGCTGACACCCTTGTTTTCATGGAGCATGATTGGAATCCAATGCGAGATCATCAGGTATCCTCTGTGTGTATGTGTTTAATTAAGAGTGTGGGAGGGAGCTACCGGGGGGGGAGTATGAAGGAGAGTGAGTCTGAAAGCAAACCATGAATTTTTTGATATTACAGATGCTTACAGTACTTTTGATGGGAGATTATTACAGTACTTTTGTAGGGTTATCCCCTCAAATGTTATGTTTTTTTTTATAGTAGCATTGAGAAAGGTATTAGCGATTTATCACATTCACTTAGGATTGATATGATTACTGATTGCGAATTTTCAGATCATTACTTCATAGTTAGTTTGCTAAAACTCAGAGGCTTTAGTTCTTTAGTCTTCTGCAAAGTTGCGGCTACATTTTCTTTTTCGGATGCTGGCAGGGCTGAAATATAGGGATCATAGTTTTCAATTGTTTCATCGTGCTCAAGTATTTGTTCCACAAAATAAATTGCGGTGTGGTGCTCGGTGTTTGATGGAACTAACAAGTAGAAAAACATGAATAGTATTATAGGGATATAAAGAATAGCTGATATCATGAACAGGGGTATTAGCCTATGGACGCTTTCTACTCCTTTCACCTTGTCTTCATGGTGAAACCTAGGATATAACCTCAAAGATGTCTCCGAAGTATTATTATAGAACATTTTATGTTCTCAAGGGATTTAAACCTTCAAAAACTAAAGACAAGAAAGCTATTGAAGTACAGCTTTCTAGACTTCAAAGAACTCAAGCGGTTCAATGCATCAGTCCACGGCTAGATGCAGTTGCTTCTAGGTCACATGATAGACGGTGATTTTATGTGGTTCCTATCCATTTCAGGAGATAGTACATGACAACAACACACTCTCTTGTTGGGAAGGGGCTGTAGCATCTTGTGGCTAGCTTCTCATTGTCCTTGGTGTTTTGGAATATGATGTAGACCTGACAGCTAATTGAACATCCAGACATTGTCTGTTAGCATAAAGCTTCAATTTTTTTTCCTTATATTTCTTTGAAGGTCAAATATCGACATTGTTTATCACCGTAGCCGAGCTAAGGAGAGGGTGCTGTACCTTACAATGTATTATGCTTCAGATGTAGTGTAGCAACTAGTACTTTACTGATACTCTTTCTGTGGCATCAATTTCACTCTGATCTTATTTCTTAGGACATGGTGAAGCAAGAGAACAGGGATTGGAATTGAAAGACGCATTGACCAATTCTGACTGGCCATCTGTCTAGTGATGATAGGCTGAACACCATTCTGAAAGTGCCTTTCCCATTTAAAGAGCTTATGCAAAGACGATCCCCAAAGTATCTTTATCCCTATCCAACACAATTGACTTTGAAAACAACTATGCAAAGTTAAAGTGTGAGATCCCACATCGGTTTGGAGAGAATGAAACATTCCTTATAAGAGTTGAAACCTCCCCCTAGCCGACACGTTTTAAAAACCTTGAGGGGAAGCCTGAAAGGGAAAGTCCAAAGAGAACAATATCTGCTAGTGGTGGACTTGGGTCGTTACAAATGGTATTAGAGCCGAACATCGGACGGTGTGCCAGCGAAGACGTTGGGCCCAAGGGGGGTGGATTGTGAGATCCCACATCGGAACATTTCTTATAAGGGTGTGGAAACCTCTCCCTAACAGACGTATTTTAAAACTTTAAGGAAAAAGCCCAAAGAGAACAATATATTCTAGCGGTGGGCTTGAACTGTCACTGAAAGCTTCTTCTAAATGAACTTCTGATTGTTTGCCTCACACCGGGTTACTCTGAGTATTAGGATATCTGTCTAAAAAATTGGCTAAGCCACTTGAGAATCAGTGTTTTATTGGGATCTGATATTTGAGAATGCCGGCTCTCCCTCCCGTTGTAGTATGCGTAGCCTATTCTTTTGCTTTCCCTCTCATTTTTTTGATACATTAGCATACAGCCAATGAACTTTCTCGATCAACTGTCAGACTAGGACAACTGCACATTCTAACCTCCCTAACTGCTCCAGGCCATCTCATTCTTACATGGGTATAAAGGATGGCGTTTTATTTTTATTGGTTTTCTGGTTGGCTTGAATGGTTTTTTCTTTAAGATGTAGGATAAATTTGAGACAACTTGGAATAGGTCAAAATGAAAATTTTGGCAGAGATATCAAATTAGTGTGGTAAGGACAGTGCTAAATGCTACTGCCCCAACTACCATTTTTCCATGGAGGTCTTGGGATTGGATACATTTTTGTTAATACTTTTTTTTTTTGTTACAGTGTTAATTCTATATCTACCCTTAATGAATATAGGAGAAAATTAAAACATGAGTTGTATTCTTTCTCATATCACATTTTTCTAGATGAGTTATCATTACGTTTTTTTTAAAACTAGTTGTTAATGTCAGAGAACGAGCAGATTAAAATAAACTGATTTTAAACAATATACTGGATCGTTTTGCAGGATTCTAGTTTAATTTTAAAAAAATATTTGTTCTCACTGTTGATGAAATTCGTTTATCAATTAAATGGGTGCATTCTTTGTGTTGATTGATGTAATTATTTTTGCAGGCAATGGACAGAGCCCACAGGTTAGGCCAGCGGAAGGTTGTAAACGTCCATCGACTCATAATGCGCGGAACAGTAGAAGAAAAAGTTATGAGCCTTCAAAAGTTTAAAGTTTCAGTTGCTAACGCTGTCATCAATTCTGAAAATGCCAGTATGAAAACCATGAATACCGATCAATTGCTTGATCTTTTCACATCTGCTGAAACCTCCAGAAAGGTATTACTACATTCATTGTTCATACCTATGATTCATTCTGTAGCTGCAGATTCAACCTATTAAACCTGTTTCTCTCTGGGATTGATAACTGTTGATTGACTCGGTTCATAAAATGTAGGGAGCGACGTCGACGTCATCGAAGCAGTCAGATGAGAACTTTGATGGAGAGGTAAAAGTAATGGGTGGAAAGAAGGGTCTGAAAGCTATTCTTGGAGGACTGGAGGAACTTTGGGACCAATCTCAGTACAATGAAGAGTACAGTCTTAGCCAGTTCTTATCAAAGCTCAATGGCTGAAGTTCTTGTGCACACGCCATGTACAAAGTGTATATAGAGTGGGAGATGATTGAAAATGCCCAAATTTTGACACTCTTTAACCACCAATAGGTTTCTGTCTTCCCTTAAACTCTCTTCCGTTCCTCCCTTTCCTCCCCCCAGAGGCTCATGCAGTTTTTTCACGAATGGTCGGAGCGTACCGGATGACGATTTACTGAGAGGTGTAACGTAACGTCTCACAACTAATGCACTTTCAGGACTGGGAAGGAATGAGAATTTGTATATGTCGGATATTGTATATACGATTCATTTCACCTTTTAAATGAAATCCATTCTTCCATATCCTTTATTTTCAATGGAAAGGCTGTTAAGATTTTGCTTGCTTTTGTAAGATTATTAATGCTATATTTGATGCCACACCAATCTTCTCATTCAGCTTTCACATGCACTCGAGGTGTTTCTATGCTACACTTTCACCCACCATAGGTAAAGAGGGGCCTTGCAACCGTTCAAACCCGACCCTAGTAGAATCGTATGCAGTACATGTAAGGAGTAAGTTAGCAATCTTTAAAGCATTGGCTATAGTAGAATCACATTATATATGCAATGGGTGAGAGCTTGTAACTATTATGGTAGGACCCTAGTGGAGTCTCATATATAAAGGGAGTGATCCCATCACGGCACAAATCTAATACAATGCAAGAAGTGACTTTACATGTGAACTCATATCACTTTCAATTCGAGTGGCATTCTCAACATTATGCCTTGAAGATGACTTGAATCTCCACGCTCTTTGGCACGAGATTTTGAGTCTCGCGTGTCTACCATTTCACCACCGAGGCATCTTGAAAGTGAATCATATTCCATGAATATGATATCTATCTAGTGTGATGTATGGAATATATGACAACGGTGGAGTGTTAGAGTATTTCTATTGCTCGGTCATGTCATATAGGTCCGAGTCGGACATCCAATTGCTTCGATTTGAATTATTCGGAGGATGCCTTACTATTATCCCTATTAGTCTAGATAGTTTACTATTAAAAATTAGTTCATGACTGAGTCTTCATATAGTACAATAATCATTATCAAAAGGAGCGTGGCTCATGCTTGCTAACTACTGACATCCATGTGGACCATTGCTCTTATCTACAGAGTGAATTGCTCTTATCTAGATAGTGATTAATGAAGCCGTGATAGTCCCCTCAAAATATCCTAACCAAACTTAACCAACAAAGCCTGGAAGGAAACTCTAATTGCTGCATATGAACCAACAAAGCCGAAAAGGAAACTCTAATTGCTGCATAAAATAATTGTTCCATACCTTAATTTATTCAAATTCATGACGTAGTTTAGGGCTTATCAAAAAATTAGGACATACTTATCGAGTCAAACTATAACATATCATGTACTTTTATGCTCAATTTTACATGTTAAATTCCTAAATTTATCCGAACAAGCTACTTAAACAAACACGAAACACTTGTTTGTTGTTTCAAAATTTTCAAACGGCCTATTATAATCAAGGAAGTAAGTCGGGGAATAAAGATAAAAATTACTATTAAATGATGCAATCTCTCGCTCCACAAACCAAAATTGTAATTTTTGTGATTAGAAAAATAATATTTACTGGATTTTTTTATTTTTACATGTCCATGAATTTGATATAAACATAAGGGATAAATCGACATTTTTATTATATCGTAAACAATCCATTAACTTTGAATATAATATAAATAATAAAGATTTTAATTTCTTAACAGTGTAAAATGTTTATTATTTTTAATTTTTTTTTTTTAATATTTTGAAATTATTTTTCCATAAATATTCATCCATGGCGACGTCGCCGTACATATTTTTCCTAAAATTAATACCTCGACAAAATGGTGAAGAAGCAGAGGCTTAAACCTTGTGTGTAAGGGAGCACAGAGGTTTTGATGGTGGGTTTGTGAAATGGGAACCGAAGGAAGTTTTGAAAGCCTGCTGAGATGGGCGGCGGATCACGGAATTTCAGATTCTGTCGACAAACAGAGTTCACATTCTTGTTTGGGTCGTTCTTTATGCGTCTGTTTCTTCCCTGATGCAGGCGGGTATGCTCTGATTTCTTGTTTTCGAGTTATATCACTCTTTTTCTTTCTTTAGCTGTATGTATTCAATTTTGAGGGAAGTTTTGCTTCAGGAGAGGTTTGGGGGCTGTTCGTCATCTTACCAAAGGAGAATTAGTGCTAAAAGTTCCAAAATCTGTCTTGTTGACGACCCAAAGTTTGTCGTTGCAAGATGAGAAGTTATCCATGGCTCTGAAGAGATACCCATCTCTTTCTTCCACTCAGGTTCTTCCTTCGCTAACATGGACTTTTCCTCTTCTTTATACATCACTTATGCATAATTAGCGCGAACTTTTGTGAGAAAAAGGTGCAAAATTAAAGTTTGAAACCCTACAAATACATGGTACATTAAACAAATCAAGAGCTTAAAAATGTCTTTTGATGTTAAGAATACGTATAGTTTAGTCTTGAACACAAATTGTTCCCAATCCTAGTGCAGTTGGTAAGCTGCCTATTAATGTGCAACAGTTATACAAGAGTGTGATCATTATAGTGTAGACAGTGATTTCTGTTGGTGTTTGTACAGAGGCTGATGAGAATCAACGAATTTCCCTATATATTTTTAGGATTAAGGTTGAGTATTCAAGATAAGACCTCCATCCTATTACAAATTTAACTGATGCAAACCTGGCTCATAAGATTGAAAAACATCTAGAAGAGTTTCTAGAAGAATCAGTCATCTAAACACAGGGGGAGTAATGGATGATCAAAGAATTTCCAAATTGGGAGTCCTACCTTCAATAATCAAGGATTTAAAGGAAAACCCCCAATGGCCCAACCAGTAACGTATCAGGACCTAAGGGTAGAGGAAACCTTACTTGAAGGAAGTCCAATAATCTTGAAACAGGTACCTTTGGAAAATATTTTAGGTGTGGGCAAACTTGATGAGGGGGAAACAACCATCTTGTTCAGTACAAAGAATCCTCAAAGACGCTCCGTGTCCGATCAGTAAATAGATTTGTAATGTTCTTATAGACGTTGGGAATTGAATATTGTAGCTTTATAACTACATTCTAACCTCACCCTAAAGCCCATAGAAGGTAGGGTAGGAATTGAGAAGTGGAGAAACAGCTTTTCACACTCAATTGTGGAGAAGATTTTGTTTGAGCGTTGGTAATTACGCAAAGGCAAAAAGAGACCGGGAAAAAGTTAGAACCAAAAGAACTACATTTTCTTATGGAATTTCTAGCTTAATTTCTGGCTCTGCCTTATTGCACCTGGCGTACTATTAAATAAGTCCTAATGAGTAACAAATAAAGGACAAAAGGCCAAGGTTGAACCCTTGTGCAATCTCGGACCTGGATGAAACTTAGCGCAATTGCATGGATAGCACAAGCATAAACCAAATTACAATGAAATGTACGTTCCTAATCCCTCCGTTATTAGATTTGTTAGATGAAAGAGAAGGTGCCAAGGCCTTCTCAAGGTAGATTTGAAAATGGTCAAATAGATACCGTTTGTTTCACGTTTGTTGGGTATAAATAGGTGATGGCTTTCATTACTAGTGAAGGCATATTTGATTGGATGGTGGTGCCATTTGAGCCATCAGATACCTGAAGCACCTTCATGTGCCTAATGAGCTAGGTTTTGACAAGTGATTTCATTTCAAAGAAAGAGAGACCTGGGAAGAAACTTTAAGAATTACAAGCATGCCTGTCCCTTGAAATGTAAAAAGAGAAGGGGTGTTATTCAAAGTTCCTTTTAGGTATGTTTAAAGATGTTTTATATTCCATTCTTATTAATCTTTAATAGTTCTTACCTTAGTGCAACTGCGACAAAGATCTTTGGGATTTAACTTAATTTAATTCTCTTTTAGATTTAAAGTTGTTTATCTAAAACATTTCTGGTGTGTTTATCTGAGACATTACCCATTCTCCCATGTTAGAATGTTCTAAAGGTTTACTAATATTAATTCCCCCAAACTCAAATGCAGAAGTTGACCTTCTGTTTACTCTACGAAATTGGTAAAGGAAGCAGTTCTTGGTGGTTCCCTTACTTCAAGCATTTGCCCACGACTTACGAAACACTGGCAACTTTTGGAGAATTTGAAAAGCAAGCCCTGCAGGTTCAATTTTCGTTTTGTGGCTTTTTTTATTTATTTATTTCTTAGGATTATATTCGTATTCATGAACCATATTCAATAATGATTTTTACCTGTGATTTCGATAGTTTTTTTTTTTTTTTTTTATAATAAATAGTTGAAGTCTATTAACAGGTGGATTATGCTCTCTGGGAAGCAGAGAAGGCTGCTTCGAAGTCTCATACGGAGTGGAGAGGAGTTAAAGGACTAATGGAAGAATCTAATATTAAAAACCAACTCCAAACATTCAAGGCATGGCTTTGGGCCTCTGCAACTGTAAGCACACTGGATTCATGCTAGAAGCATGTACTGCATCGTTAGATAAGACCTGGATTTATACAGAGTAGTCAAACCCACATTTTCTTATAAGATTTCAAGTTTTTTTTTTTTTTTCATTCATTTTTGTTTGGTGAAAATTTAAATGCATCATTTAAAGGTGGTTTAGCTGGAGGTCTCGTGTGGGTAAATTATGCAAAACAACTGTCCAAGGTCAGTGCAAATATGTTTTTCTTATAGAAGAAAAGACCACCAAATGACACCCATTTGCTGATTATATGTCCTTCCATTACCCATTACCAGCCTGTAAGCGTCATTAAGAATCCTATTCTATCTAATGGTGCCACCCTGCCTCTAATAGTTCACTGGTTTTCTTCCGACTTATGAAGCGGAAGCTTGCACAAAGGCTTTAGAATCATCCCGAACAATAAGGATACTAGGACGTTCATTCAAGTACGAGTGAATTTTAGTATTCACATCCCATCAAATTTCCCATAGATTTTTGTTGCAACAGAATATAACCCATCCTCTTGTTTATGAATGCCAGTTGTTTGAGAGCTTGTTTTGTAATTTTCAATTAGCCCTTCTTGTGGAGGTTTTAAGTATTGTCCTGTTCTGTACATTATTCGATGACTCACTAAACATGAGAATGTTTTGGTCCGATGTAAATTTTCTCAATCTTAATCTCAGTTTATTTAACTTATTTCGACGTTTAATAGTTCAATACTAAAAATATATGTTTCCTTTGAGAGATATCATCTAGGGCATTGTATGTACCATGGGATGAGGCCGGATGTTTATGTCCAGTTGGTGACCTGTTCAATTATGCTGCACCTGAAGGGGAGTCCCTTGATATTATGGATGTTTCATCATTTTCCCAACATGCTTCTTTGAATGGAAACATAACTACTGATGGGTTACACAAAGAGGAACAAGATACTCAGCGGGCTTTGACAGATGGTGGATTTGAGGAAAATGTTTCTGCATATTGCTTCTATGCCCGGGAAAGTTATAAAAGAGGAGAGCAGGTATTTTATATTTTCTTGATGTCATTTAATATTTTTCACCCATATGCGAAGTGGAGTTGAAATCTTTCTATTGTTTGACGCAGGTTCTTTTAAGCTATGGTACATATTCAAACTTAGAGCTTCTTCAATATTATGGGTTTCTTCTACAGGAAAATCCAAATGACAGAGTTTTCATTCCTTTGGAACATGAAATTTATAGCTCCAGTTCTTGGCCTAAGGAGTCTCTTTTTATTCACCAAAATGGAAACCCATCTTTTGCTCTACTTTCTGCTCTGCGATTATGGGCAACCCACCCGAACAAGCGTAGAGGTGTCGGGCATCTTGCTTATGCCGGGTCTCAACTCTCGGTCAAGAATGAAGTATTAGTCATGCAATGGTTATCAAAGAACTGCCATGCTGTTTTAAACAATCTGCCAACGTCGGTTGAAGAAGACAATCAGCTTTTGTGCAACATCTGCAAAATCCAGGATTTGCAAGGACCAACGGAGCTCGGGAAGATGCTATTGACTGTCGGAGGCGAGTTTTGTGCTTTCTTGGAGACCTATGGCCTGGTGAATAGAGAGGAAACCGAGTTACACTTAACTGGGAAAATTAAACGTTCTCTGGAGAGATGGAAACTGGCAGTGCAGTGGAGGATCTTGTACAAGAAGGCGTTGGTTGATTGCACAAGTTACTGCACCAGAACTACTTGTTCTCTATCTTCTTGATCTGGTTGGCTGTGATTACCAGGTACTCAAAACCTATCTCTTTTACATTCAAAGAAACTACTTGACATATTTTATGAAAAGAAGTTATTAGATCACTGACGAATGTTGTAACATTGTGTCATGATGAATGTTTAAACATTGAGTGAGTGGTGTCGAGATGAATGTTAACATTGAGTGATTTATGTCACCAAGTTGAACTCTCTATAGATCTTATAAGCGGTCAACTCATGATTAGCGTTTTGACTCGTGGACCGGGTCAATAGTAGTTATAAATCCTTTTCAGTATATCTCAAAATAATACTAATGATACTAATAAATTTATTTCGTTTGGGTTCTTATACTGTGAAACATTTTAGTTTTATCTCCCTATGCTTTGATGTGTATCATAGAAACCATTCATTTCCTATCCTCTTCTCCTCTAGTTTCCCTCCTTGGACTCCTCTTTCAATGGCACCCTTTCAGTGGTCACCCATTTCCTCTACTTTTACCGCCAAGCTTCAACCCTTCTTGGACTCCTCGCTTACTGGCAACAGCTCCTTCTATTCGCCTCCCTTCTCGGTCACTAACAGCACAAAAGCCCTCTCAATCACAAGTCTTATACATAACATAGTCTTATACATAACATCATATAGAAAACAAATATAGAAATCAATTGTTGTTGTCCCATGAGATGATCTACAAGTAGGTATATGATCTTCAGTATATGATGAATATGGTCATACTTGAGCTTACACTTGTAACCGTTCAAGTCCACCGCTATTAGATATTATTTGTTTTGGTCCGTTATGTATCGTCATCAACCTCACATTTTTAAAACACATCTTTTAGAGAAAGTCTTTCATAAGGAAGGTTTCGTTCTCCTATCCAACCAATGTGGAATCTCACAATCCACCTTTTTTGGGGGCCCAACACCCTCGTGGCAAATCGTTCAGTATCTGGTTTTGATACACTTGTAACAGCTCAAGTCTACGCTAGCAAATAATATCCGCTTTGGCTCGTTATGTATCACCATCAGCCTTACGGTTTTAAAACACATCTTCTAACGAGAGGTTTTTACGCCCTTATAAGGAACTTTGTTCTTCTCTCCAACCAACGTGGGATCTCACAACATTAATGTGATTATTGTCACTATTCCTTTTCCTCGGCTGCCACATGCCTATGAGCCTAGCAAAAGCCCCTCTACTCAAGTCAGCATAATTGAGCAGCAGCCCATGAGCCCCCATGAGATAAACAGAACAATCTTCATCTCAACAGCATAAATATGAAATCTACATAAACAAGTGTAGTTTATTGATTGAAGGAAAAAAAAATGTCACATCTTGTCCAGATATATACAATCCTCTAACAAATAGAAACCCCCTAAGAAAATGATGGATTGAATCAAAACCATCATGACTTTGGCAGGCTATACTTTCAAGGGACTTTTATCAATCAAACATTCCTAAAGAATTTATGAATGATGATCCAATTCCAAACCTATACAATATATAAACTATATGGCCTGTGATTCATGAAATAAGATTCTATGAGTTATTACCTTAACCAGAGGGAAGAAGAAGCAAAGAACAAAGAACAATGGGACTCCAACTCAGAAAACCAAGAAAGCCAAAAAAGGATAGAATTCACCTCTCATCTTAAGAACTTAAGTGTTAGAGAATCCTGAAAAAACGAGCTCTTCTACAAGCATCATCAATGGAGCCTGCCTCAACCTCCTTCCCTCACAGCTTCTGATGAGATTCAATAAGCAAAGCATTAAGCATTACATGAATGGCAGCTTCATAAACAACACCATCATAATGCATCCCATCAACACTACATCGAACCCCACAATTCCAACTCAAGGTTTCAATATCAATCAACAACAGAGGCCCACCAGACGACCGCAGAAGCTTGCTTCTGCGGAGAGCTTCATCATAAGCCACCCTCATTGTATCACTCATCTTCTTCCTCTTCTCCTCAGTGTTCAGCATCGAGTTAATCAGTTTCGGCATTCCAATCCAGAACAAATGTGGGGCTCTAATGGATACAGAGCCCGTCAAAGCCCCTTCAGAACCCACTTCTGGAGTCAATGGAATCAGTGAAACAACAGAATTTCTAAGTGATTCTAAAGAAAACCCAAACTCTGATGCATTAGTAAAATGAAGCATATGCCATAGCCCTGACCCCATGATTATAACATCAGGGTAGCTTCGATTTTGCTTGAATTCCACCATTAAATCAGTCAAATTAGAAGCATAAGGAGCCCAAATGAAATCCAGTTTCATCCCAGTTTCACTAACCAGAATTTGGTAATTACTATGCCGCTTGAACAGATCGCCTCTAATGGCTTCCATTCTTTGAGAATCCATCGTCAAATCCAGCAGTGATAAAGCCATCAATCTCGCCTGTGAATCACCGGCGACGACGACCCATGATCCATTAAGCAAATCGGAAGCATCCATCGGAGCCAATTTCTGAAAATCACAGGCAACAACAGGAGAAGATCTCTCCCATTTCCACGATTTCTCATAATTAACAGAGTTATTACTCAACGGGTTAAATCCATCGCTCTGCTTGACCTCCCAGACGATTTCATGCAACTGAGAAACACACGAGACTCGGCTATCGAAAACGACGACAGAAGAAACAGTGGTAACGAAATCAGAAACCGAGGGAATGTAAGGCGTGAGATGAACACCGATTGCGAGAGTAATGAAAAGGGCTCCGCTGAAGAACAGCATCTTATTACGGCTTAAATGCCATCCGGCCATTCCCATCGGCACAAATAACACAACAAACGCAGCTAAAATACCCAATTGAACACCGCCAAACATAATAAAACCCCAATTTTCAACTCCCCCACCTACAAAAAAACCCTCCACAGAAGCAAATGATCCGATTTCAGAGGGTGCTTTCGAGACAGAATGGAGGTTTTGGATGTGGGTATTTCTGGGTTTGTTGTGTTCATTAAGAATCTTTGATTTCTTTGTAAGGGAGATCCATAAAATAGGTCGAGAGACTGAGAGGTTGGTGGGGAAGGTTTTTGGCTTGAAAAACAAGAAACCTGTCAATTTGTGGAGGGGAAAAATGACGCACCGTCGGTTCTGATCCAAGGAGGGGTTCGTTAAGAATGTTCATCGGTGGCCGGTGGTCTCACCGGAAGCCGGTGGAGTTTTCAACATTTTAGGCTTTAACACGAAGGGAAGTTCAAAGAGAGAGTTTTGTTAGTTTGTTTACCCTTAACCGAACATTAATTATTGTTCCAAAATTCTATGTTTTGGTCTCAAATTTACATTTATTGAACTAAAAAAACAACGGATTGCATTTTAATTTTAATGTTGTCTCTCATAGCTTAATTGTGAAAATGAGTGTAGTTGAACGATAATTGATATTTACTATCAAATCTTTAGATGAGAAGTGATGAAGGCATCCTTTTCTTAGGCATAGGCTTTTCAATCTTTAGATGAAAAGTGATGAAGGCATCCTTCTCGATATTTTCTTAGGCATAGGCCTTCAAATCTTAGATGAAAAGTGATGAAGGCATCCTTCTCGTTGTTTTCTTGGGCATAGGCCTTCCAAAGGGTAACTAAGGCGTGCAATAATTTTCTCGGGCCTAATGAAGGTTAGCCCTTGTGTGTAAAAGTAGAAAAGAACTTGAGTGCAAGACCCACCTATCAAGTTATACTTGAATTGATAATAACCGTTTTGTCTACAAAGTTATACTTAAACTGAAATTGACACTTCTGTCACCATAGCACTCTAACTTATAAATATATTGATAAATTTTTACTAATAAACAAAGTTTTTGGCTAATCTAAACATAATTTTACACAAAATCGAGAATAAATTAGTTTAGTTTAGTTTTAATATCAAAATTTAATCTCCATAAATTTTGGGCCAAGACAAATTTTGAATTTTACAAATACTCCGTCTACATAAAATGCTTCATTTATGATATCAAATTTTCTTATTATCTCATGTTGCTTTTCATGAAAAAATACCATTTGAAGTGGAGGGCTTCTTCAAACAGCAAGGAGCTGGGTCAACTATTCAATCAAATAATATTGAGCATGTTTTCCATCTCTTCTCGAGAAACAAATGGGCTATTTCTTTGCAAAATTGTGCTCAATTTCAGTGGCAATTCCGCCCAAATCTTTTCTTTAGTTGGGGGAAGAATCCACATGAATCGAATTTTTTTGAGGAACATATCGAGAGAAGCATGTTTCCCATCTCTTCACGAAAAACAAGTGGGCTATTTCTTTATAAGTACTTGAAAGCTCTTTTTTTTTTAGAATAGTACATGATTTCAAGATCGATATCAAGCTCAATTTTTGGGATCAAGATTGATCTTGGAGATTGATATTGATTACACGTTTGAAATGATGAACACTTGTGGTGTATTATATATTAATATAAACTCATCTTGGTTTTTAATGCCAACAAAGTTCATAAGAGAATCACATCGAAAAGAAGAGTTGCCAAACTGTGTGGATTACAGACAAATTTGCATGATTTTGTTGGTATTAAAAAGGAAAAAAGGTACTAAGATGCCGTAGAGCTTCTGCTCTGAAAGACTTGGAGAAGGCAACCAAAGGTTTAGAAATCTTCTGCTCCATTGATTTCCTGCATATCAAATTTATCCAAAACATTCAAACTCACTGTCCAAACCACATAACCATGATCTTTGTATAACAGATTTTAACTCCTCTTTCTCGTACCTTGTTTTCAATTACCGCGTTATCGGGCACAGCTAATTTTGCCTCGGGTTTAGCCGAGATACTCACTTTTCCCTGCAAAATAACCGGACAAATACGTGTTCAAACTCCTGTAATGTCATTTCTTACAAGTCTCAAATCACTAAAGCATATAAACGTAAGCGTGTGAAGAAAGAGAATGACGTGTAACGGGTAGTTACATGTCTGTGTGGAGCCTATAGGTTTTGATTTGGATAAATTATGTTCGTTTTGACCAGTTCGAGCTGCACGGTTGGTTCAGAAAACAACCGCCCCACAACTGAACCAACCAACTAGCATAACTAGCATTCCTAATTACAGGGTCATTATGTTATATGGTATCTGCTAATTGGATGATACATCAGAAACCAGAAGACAAGCAGATTCATACCTTGAGAACGACACCAGCCCCGAACGAAACATCACCAGCCACTTTAAGGCTATCGAGTTCAATGATGCTTGGGATCGACTTGAA